GAACTCAACTGACTGGACTGGCCTCAGGCATGCAGCCATGAAGCCCATCGCATCTGACTGCCAACGGTGGAGGCAGCTGTAATTAATTTATGCACAATTTTATGTTCTATACCTCGCCCAAAAATTACTACAGGGCTCAGTAGAGGGGAAGAGGAGAAGAGGCAGACCAAGAAAGAGCTGGGTATAGAACCTGACTGACTGGACTGGCCTCAGGCATGCAACAATGAAGCCCATCGCATCTGACTGCCAACGGTGGAGGCAGCTGACCAGACAGTCAACAGCAACTGGTGACCCAACGACATGCAGTGTTACGGGATGATGATGATGATATACTGTGTGATTAACAAATTATTACTTTGGCTTTAAAACATAAAAATATCTGGCCCTGCTGGGAATTAAAATCCAAGTGTGCTGATATTTGAGACAGTAATGCAAGCCATCCACCCACCTGGTTTTTTAAAATCCTGGGATTATAATTACCTAATCGTATGTTGTCTACAGTTTGTAGTTAACAAACCCTGTTTGAATCCTTTGTTGACTTCAGTCTATGATTAATGAATCCTGTTGGAATACTGTGTTGTCTATAGTGTGTGATTAACAAATCCTGTTTGAATTCTATGTTGTCTAGCATATGATTAACAATTTCTGTATAAATTCTGTAACATCTGAAACTTTCACCCTGAGAAGCTACAAAAACAACACCGGTTCGACCCAATTCCTTATAAATGTCACTTTTCTAACTTGACTTTAGTGACGTGGTTATGAGACGCACAGTTAATGCTACTGGCTGTTTTGATGTCTGTGCAAATGTTTAGAAGGTCAAGATATGAATATATTAACTAAAAAAAGCATTTAGGGAGATATTCCTTTGAGCCAAATAGCTTTTTTGAAGCAAGGTTGGTGTCAAATTTTCCTGTAAGCCTTGTGAAAGAAGTCACGGCATAAATCACCCCAAACATTTGTTTGAAGACTTCAGGGAATGTATTCTATTTAATTCACTGATTACTACCTTCATACTTTTTTTGTATTTCAGGAAATTAAAAAAATTATTTATATAAATAAACATCTAATGTTTTAGGTTGTCCGGTGTCAAATTATGCTTTTTCCCATTTCCCAGAATTTCAATAGGGTCACGACCCATTTTGTTCCTTGGGAAGAGGGTTAAATACCAGTAAAATTCAACATGTCGTAAAAATAGATAAGTGTAATTATTTTTAATTTAAAATAAGGGCATTTATTAACAACTCAGAATAACTATAGAAATTCTGTGTTCTCTTCTTAAAACAACTTCTTTGTTTAGCAAATATTCCTGAACCATGTTACATCTTTAAAAACAAAAACATTTGCATGTATTCTTTAAACACTGATGGCTGCTTGAATTCTGCCCCTCATAAATGCATTTTGGTTGACAATGACTGCACTGTGTTGTTCCAATAATATGGCATTCTGTTTTCACTCTTCCTTCGAAATCACACAAGAAAAGTTGGGAGATGAACTGGAAAAGGCACTGGTATCTGGGCAGAATAAGTACATGCATTATTGTTTATCCTCAAACAGACTGAATAATTAGATATGTTGTCTTATAAAAAAGACAAGAAGAGACAGTTACCAACTAACAATAGTGGTAGGCACAGTAAAGCTAAATGTTTTAACAGAAAGCTAAATAATTAAACAGAACATCAAAGAATGGTTTGGTCATCTGGTCACAATTGAACTAAATCAACCAGCAGCTAAAGCTCTCTTCCCTATGTATGTGTGTGTGTTTTTTTTTTTGGGGGGGGGGGAGGGGGTGTTCCTCCCCCTCAAACAATTCTAGCAGTGGACTATATGTGTTGGCACTTCTGATAGCTGCTTTATGCACTTAATGCATATGTATGCTATTGGCTTTCTGAGACTGCAGCAACATTATTTTGCCCCAATATAACTGTTACCTAGGGCTGAACTGGGTCTCTGGGCTTTGCTTCTGTTATTTACATCTGAATATTGGCTGTCTAAGTCAGTGTTTCTCAAACTATCTCCTCTGCGGCACCCTTGTCGGGCAACATTTTTTTCGTTGCACGCCTACCCTTAAAATGGTTTTTCATTATTTCTTTCATGTTTATGGGAAGTTACTTATTTGTACTCTCAAATCACTTGAAGACTGATCCTGTATCTGTTATTTTTAATGTAAGCTAACGTTGAGAATGCCCTGCAGCCTTGCCTATAGCATTGTTTTTTTTTAATACACCTGCACCCATACATTTTCTTGTCTTCCTTCATGGTATTTCTGTTTTAAACTGCTGTCTTCGCCGCTGATCTCAAGCAGATTTTGAAAAATTCTTGATTATTGTCGCAACACCCCTGGCATGCGCTTGCGGCACCCCTGATATATGGAAGTGAATCATGGACAGTTGGTAGATTAGTGAATAAGTATTTGGAAGCTGCGGAGATGTGGTTTTATAGACGGATGATGAGAATACCCTGGACAGATAAAAATAGTAATAAAGATGTCTTGAAAAAAACTGAATCACGAAGAGAAATTATAACCCACATTCTTTGGTCATGTGATGAGAAGGAGAAAACTTGGGTACATCGTTAACAGTAAGAAAGTTGGAGGGGAGGAGAGGCAGAGGAAGACCGAGAGAAAAGATGCTGGACAGTTTGACATTATGGCATGAGACATCATCTGTGTCAGAGTTGATTGAAAGTACACAAGACAGAAGGTTGTGGATAGATATGACTACCAACACCACAGGGTGTTGAAGACGAAGTCACTGGGTGCCAATCTCAGGCCACAAAACAAGAAAGATAATTTTTTTCAAACCAAAACTGGGTTATTTGCCCATTGTGTTAGTTTCTTTTCCTTCATGGATCAATGTTTGCTATTCAAATATTCTAGCATGGGTTTAACTGGATGGTACTCTTTGAGTTCTTCACTGGTGACCCCTTGTTTGTTTTGCAGGTTCACTCCTGTAGGCCAGGTTTCTTTTGAAACTCTTCTCTTCTGACTGGTAATTTTCAAAGACATGCTCTGGAGTTTGCTTTCAAGCGCCATAACCATATTTATGCAGTGCATGAACTTCATGAAGCGTCCGTGTGCTCTGAGTATTCAGTGTCAAGTTTTGAGTGTCCTAGTTTACCTGCCAAGCTTAGTTATATTGTCATGTTCTGGTCTAATGTATATTGTCATGTTCTGGTCTAATGTATATTGTCATGTTCTGGTCTAATGTATTTGTATTGTCATGTTCTGGTCTAATGTATTTGTATTGTCATGTTCTGGTCTAATGTATTTGTATTGTCATGTTCTGGTCTAATGTATATTGTCATGTTCTGGTCTAATGTATTTTATTGTCATGTTCTGGTCTAATGTATTTTATTGTCATGTTCTGGTCTAATGTATATTGTCATGTTCTGGTCTAATGTATATTGTCATGTTCTAGTCTAATGTATATTGTCATGTTCTAGTCTAATGTATATTGTCATGTTCTAGTCTAATGTATATTGTCATGTTCTAGTCTAATGTATATTGTCATGTTCTGGTCTAATGTATTTTATTGTCATGTTCTGGTCTAATGTATATTGTCATGTTCTGGTCTAATGTATATTGTCATGTTCTGGTCTAATGTATATTGTCATGTTCTGGTCTAATGTATATTGTCATGTTCTAGTCTAATGTATATTGTCATGTTCTAGTCTAATGTATATTGTCATGTTCTAGTCTAATGTATATTGTCATGTTCTAGTCTAATGTATATTGTCATGTTCTGGTCTAATGTATATTGTCATGTTCTGGTCTAATGTATATTGTCATGTTCTGGTCTAATGTATTTTATTGTCATGTTCTGATCTAATGTATTTTATTGTCATGTTCTGGTCTAATGTATATTGTCATGTTCTGGTCTAATGTATATTGTCATGTTCTGGTCTAATGTATATTGTCATGTTCTGGTCTAATGTATATTGTCATGTTCTGGTCTAATGTATATTGTCATGTTCTGGTCTAATGTATTTTATTGTCATGTTCTGGTCTAATGTATTTTATTGTCATGTTCTGGTCTAATGTATATTGTCATGTTCTAGTCTAATGTATATTGTCATGTTCTGGTCTAATGTATATTGTCATGTTCTGGTCTAATGTATATTGTCATGTTCTGGTCTAATGTATATTGTCATGTTCTGGTCTAATGTATATTGTCATGTTCTGGTCTAATGTATATTGTCATGTTCTGGTCTAATGTATATTGTCATGTTCTGGTCTAATGTATATTGTCATGTTCTGGTCTAATGTATATTGTCATGTTCTGGTCTAATGTATATTGTCATGTTCTGGTCTAATGTATATTGTCATGTTCTGGTCTAATGTATATTGTCATGTTCTGGTCTAATGTATATTGTCATGTTCTGGTCTAATGTATATTGTCATGTTCTGGTCTACTTTTGCTTTTTCTTCTTCCCAGACTGATACAGAATAAGGTTACACTGATGCCAGAAAGAAACGACAGAACTAATGAACTACCTTTACCACTTTAGGGCAATGCGGGATGTGAAGGGGGGGGGGAGGGGGGGGGAGGGGGGTTGATGAGACACCCTGCCTGAGGATTTAGGGCTACACACCATGAACTGTGCCCTACAACAAGAAACACCCATCACCGTACCAATGATTCAAACTAGGATTTCCCAAAACGAGAATCGATCATTCATAACTCTTTCTGGCATCATGTGTGATTAACCTAATCTTATGAGTCCTGAACATTACACAATATGTTGTTACTTTTTGCATCTGGTCATAGAATACTAAAGAAATCTGGCATTCCCAGTGGCCTTTTTGAAAAGTTTGTACTCTTGATTTTTCAGTGGGTTTTCTCTCTCCTTAAGCAACTGCTTTGAAAAGTTGTGGGGCTGAAAGAGTTAACTCCTCAGTTAGCCCTTCATCGTACAGAAACTACAACCATAACAGTTAATCACAGAAGGACAAGAAGAAACAATTTCCCACAAAAACAACAACAACAAAAACAGCTCACCTATAAAGGTCTCCGGGCAGGTAAATCTACAACAGATAACTGCAAATGACCTGGTGAAATATAATGAGAATAATCTCCCTTGGATGACATCTGGCTCTGAACGGAATGAAGCTGCAAAAAAAATAATAATGTTTTAAGGGCTGACCATTTCAGTCATCATCACATTTGTCAGTATTATTATAACTGGTGTTGGCTGATCGTGTTATTTCTGGTTTCAGTTAGGGCCCATTCTTCTTCTTCTTTGTACTCCAGACATCATCAACACCAATTACAATTTTTGCTGTTGAGTGTTGTGGAAAGGAACAGTTTGTAATCCACTGCTTCATGGGCAGCAATGGCTACTGTCCTTCTGTGTCGGTGAAGGTTTTTAATGTCATCAATTCATCTTCTCCTAGGGCGACCTCTTGTTTGCCCATTAGATCTTTTTATGTGTAGCGCTTGTGTTGGTAGTTGAATTGAGAAATGACATCACAGCCCGCGGAGCATTGGCATATGCACTTCGTCCCCATCCTCAGCAGCCAGCGCAGAGTTCCAATACTAATGGTGCCGGTCGTAGTCTGGTTGTATGTCCGTCTTGCCTTTCCTCTGAGCGTAGTGTGCCAGCCGAACCCTCTGATCACACCAAGGTGCATCAATCTCTACAGCTCATAATGTTTCTCTTCTGGCTTCGTTACTTGTTCCCAAAGGACTCTGTCCTGTGTTGGTAGTTGAGAACTGACATCACAGCACGCCAGGCATTGGCATATGCACCCCCTCCCCATCCTCAGCAGCCAGCGCAGAGCTCCAATACTAATGGTGCCGGTCATAGTCTGGCTGTATGTTTGTCTTGCCTTTCCTCTAAGTGTAGTGTGCCAGCCGAACCCTCTGGTCACACCCAGATGCATCAATCTCTACAGCTCATAATGTTTCTCTTCTGGCTTCGTTACTTGTTCCCAAAGGACTCTGTCCTGTGTTAGTAGTTGTTCTGACTGCCTTTCAACAAGATGACCAAACCATTTGATCTTCTGTTTCTCAATTAATTTGGCGCATGGTCCTGCTCCCATCGGCGTGATGCTGACCACATCACCCATCTTGTGCCGATTGGTCTATAAAAATATAGGTCTAGCCCTATATGCCTAAAGGCGTGGAAAAAGGTCTTTTACTGCTCCCATGGTGTGATACAATACAAAAGAATGTAGAAAGTTAAAAAAAAAAAAACCAAAACTCTTAGTTTCACCATAGTAAATGAAGAACTCTACACTTAAACACTACTTCCTACACAAGTTGAATTCTTTAAAAATTTCATTACACATTTTAATTACCTGCAGCATTATCTTCTTCTTCTTGTGTTCGCTTTCTGATTTATACCGACAGACAGGTTCTTGTGATAAACTTAAATGTTTTTTATGAGTTCCTTGCAGCATTTTCTATCTAGGGTGTTATCCAGCAGTGGTGTTTTCCATCTACTGTGTTTTCTACTTATGCAGCTATCACTCTTTGGCAAAACCACATCTAATTTTTTGTTTTTAATTGTGCCGTCTCCATAATGGAGGTTGCTTGCAATGTATCCACTGCTGACTATGAGAACAGAACATGATGAAGTCCCAATCTATTCAATGATATGACTTTCATAGCATCGCCTGAGAGGCAGGAGAACGGTCTTTTTTCAACCACCCGCCACGGAATTGAACCTTGGCAAACGTCAAGGATTACAATGTGAAAAACTAAAGCTTGTTCCTAAGGTCCACGCCATGTTTGTTGGAAGTCATGTCTTTCCACAACCTCCTGTCTCGTGTACGTTCAATCAACTCTGACACAGATGATCTTCTGTGCTGTGATGTTGAGATGGCCGGTATCTTCTCTCTTGGTCCCCTTTTGCATCTTTTCCCCTGCAACTTTCAAATCATTACAATGTGCCCCAATTTTCTCCAAAAAATGTTTCCTTCTGTTAAAGTTGATCAGTGAGCAATTAGCTTTCGCACAGATTCTCACTAAATGTGTGTGTGTGCTCACGTGAGAGAGAGAGAGAGAGACGTGGTATTGATAGATGTGTTGGTGGTAGAAAGTGATAAAATAGGCCTCAGTTTAAATAACGGAAAGACACAAGTTATGGTGATTTCCAAGAAAAGAATAGTGCCTAAATGTATAATCAAAGTCAAAGGTGTTATTTTAGGACATGTACAGATATTTAAGTATCTAGGCACGTGGAAAACATCCGATGGAAGATGTGTCACAGAGATAAAGAACAGAATAGGACAGGTCAAAACTGCATTTGACAACATGAAGAACATTTTATGCAATAAATTCATGCCACTGAAGGTTAGGAAAAGAATTATTGCATGCTATATAGTGCGGCGTCCGTGGCTAAGGCGTTGCGAGTCCGACTCGTAAGCCAGCACACCGCGATCAAAACCCACTGCAGGCTGCGTGTATTTTTGTCGTGGTATGGGACGTCGCAGGTCGACCCAGCCTAAAATGGGTACCAGGATGGGCTGTCCTGGGAAAGTAAAGACAGCCGGCGTAATGCTGACCACATTACCCACAGAGTGCTGATGGTCTGTAAAAATATGGGACGCTCTGCCCATATGCCCGATGCGCCGAAAGGCGTGAAAAGGGATCTTTACTTTTTTATATAGTGCCAGTTTCAACATGCGGCTATGAAGCCTAGACAATTAATAAACAAGCCAAAGAGATGTGGTTTTAAGGAAGAATTCTTACAATTCCTTGGACAGCAAAGAGCAACCCAAATACTTTGAAAGAGGTGAGTGCTCGAAGACAACTTATCACAAACATCAGAAGGAGACAGTCATAATTTTTTGGTCATGTTATGAGAAGAGGGTCGGCTCTGTGGCTAAGTCGATGCGAACGCTTCGTAATGCCAGGATGCTGGGTTCGATCCCAGCTGCGGGCCATGCGCCTTGCGTTGGTTTCGACAGTGGTATCAAGAAAGCCGACCGTCCAGAAAGCAATGTCAAACTACTGGACGTAAATTTGCCTCGAAAAACAAAACAACAGCCAGGGGCAGGTTCTGCAACGTCCTGTAAAGGATACGCAACTAACCTATGAGAAGAGGGAAAATGGAACATGTGATCACTGAAAATGTCTGTGGACAGAGAAATAGAAGAAGACAGCGTAAGATGATTCTTGACAGTATTTTGTCATGGCCTGGAGGGATGTCAACACACAGTTGCAGATCGCGGATTGTGGAGAGGCATGATCGCCTATGCCAGTCAGCAAGGCACTTGATGATGATGATGTACGCATGTATTTTTGATTGTGAATATATGATGTGTGTATGCATTATTTCATTACGTAAATCTTTATATTTGTCAACAGCTGAAAAGGCGAAAAATGCAATGGTATGGACATGTAAAAAGATCTAACGGCCTCTCAACAACGATACTGCAGGGCTGAGTAGAGGGAAAGAGGAGAAGAGGCAGACCAAGAAAGACCTGGTTACAGAACCTGACTGACTGGACAGGCCTCAAGCATGCAACCATGAAGTCCATCGCAACTGACCTCCAAAGGTGGAGAGAGATGATCAGACAGTCAACAGAAACTGGTGACCCAACGATATGTAGTGTTCAGGGATGGTGAAATCTTTATATAGACAAAACATGCATTTCTGATAACATGCAATTGTGGTCTGAAAGAGGAGTGCTTGGGAGGACCCAATGTAAAACAGGCCTGCGTGCCCAATTTGTAAGCCTCTGAAAATTTTGTTGGTCCCCCCCCCCCTCCCCAAATGGGGCCCAAAAACTCACACTAGGAGATAAAGATAATAAAACAAGAGGACTCACATTAGGAGACGTCCTGACGTCACCTGTGCCTACATGTGCTGTGTGTCGGAAATTTGTTGGCTGGCCTATCATACTGGGATCTAATCTTGGCCGTGCTCTCCGCTTCTGCGAAATAAATGAAACAGAAAGATATATACCATCAGTGGAAGTTCACTGCACTTCTATAAAATAGGTGAAATGAAACATACATTCAATGGAAGTCCTCTTCGCTTCTGAAGAATAAGGAAGTTAGATGAATACTTCCTCTTGCCAACTGCTGTAAACTCCAACAAACAGAAAAAAACTGTTTGTCTATTTCTGGACTTTGATCTTGTTCCGGAACTTTAGTTTTGTGTGCATATTCATTTTACAGATCTTGTTTATTTGAATGCAGACTTTTGGCTCTTTGCTCTCAGGCAGATGGAAGCTCTAGCTTCAATTGAAACAGCAATCTAATCTACACTGGCCAGCTTCCGATTGGAAACCTGTTTCTGGAATTGCCGCAGACAGGCGTAGACTGGTCTTGACAAATATCAGCTGTGCTCCTGGTGCATCCCCTGTGGTTCAGCACCCTGCATCCCACATGCATAAAATTAGTGGAAGTTTGTTTTGCTCTTGTGAAAAAAAAATTAAATGAAAGTGGGATGCATACGAATGCAGGTTGCCTGCCTAACTTTTGTGGAGGAAAAATATATACATGGATGCATACAAAAGCGGGATCTCTGTGGCAAAGTGGTTTAAGTTGCTTGTTTCCCATGCTGAAGGTTAATGGTTCGGTGTTAGGCTTTATTTTAGTGCAAAGCAGATAGACTTCACATATTTAATTAGAACATGCAGTGAAGAAAAAAAAAAGACACTGTGAAATGATACAACTGTAGTTAGTGGACTGAGAAGCAGGGTTGGAAAGCCATTCAAACAAGAGGAAAGACAAGACGGACTTTTAACCAGATTGTGACCGGTTCCATCAGTATTACAACTCTGCCCTGGCTGCTGAAGATGAGAACGGAGCATGCATGGGAATGCTCCGAGTGCTGTGATTTCAATTCTTGACTCAACTCAACTCAAACAAGAAGTGAACACCAGCTTTTCTCCTTCAAATGCAATTGACACATTATGCTGTGGTTTACAGCTAGGCTGCAATATTCTCTCCAAGTAAAGGGCCTTTCGGTACATCCGGCATACAGTACTAGACCGATATTTTAATAGGCCAACTGGCACTTGATGAGTGTTACGGTTAAAATCATGCAGCCACTTTTACTTCCGATAATTACCTCGTATACTGGGTCGACCTGTTAACTAGTTATTTTTTTTAGAGGAAAGAAGTAGCCTTGATGCAAGTTTGAACTTCAGATCTTCAGGCGAGCATCTAGTCCAATTTCAGACAAACGTGTCATTAGCAATGATGTGCCTGTTAACCTATTCAGTCCCAACCAACACATCATGTGTGATAAGCTACGGACAATTTGACCCAAACAATGCATGATGAGATATGATTTTTATGATAACCATCTGACCCCTTCCAGTGGGACGCTAATCATATCAACCAGAAAGTGATATGATTTTTACAATTACTATCTGATCCCTTCTGGTGGGATGCTGATCATATCAAACAGCAAGTGCAGATTGGTCTATAAAATAGAGGTTCTGCCCTATATGCCTAAAGGCGTGGAAAAAGGTGATTTACTTATTTGACCCCTTATGTTCAAATACAACACAGAAAATTTATGTTGTAAGTTATATGCTGGCAGCATAAAAGTAATGCATGTGTGTTTCACTCCTTATGGCTAAGCACTCGTTAGGTATCTCCGATGAGATCTTATGGGTCTATTACTTTTCTTTCCCAAAAACGGGGTTCTAGGACCCACAGAAAAGACTGATTAAAACAAACAACTAACCGGCTGAGGCTGTCCTCCTATACAGGGAAAACAGAGCAAAGATTCAGCCATGGAGAAGTCTGCCTAGACCCTGGCAACGGGAACTGGTGTTTGGTAAGTCCTGGCTCTCTCCAGTCCCCCCTGCCACTGACAGAATAGTTATCGTGTGTTACGGGAGCTGAGTACTGTTTTTGGGGTTGCTCACTTCAGCTGAAATTAAAGACAAGACAGAAGATTTATTATATTAGATGTTCAAGACAGAATATTTATTATGTCAGATGTTCAAGACAGAAGATTTATTATATTAGATGTTCAAGACAAGATTTACTATGTCAGATGTTCAAGACAGAATATTTATTATGTCAGATGTTCAAGACAGAAGATTTACTATGTCAGATGTTCAAGACAGAAGATTTATTATGTCAGATGTTCAAGACAGAAGATTTATTATATCAGATGTTCAAAATGTGTACTTAAAAAAAAAGTCTGAAAATAACATTTGCAAAGTAATTCTATCATAATTAAAATAAACTATGTATAGCAGCTGCACTGGCTGCTGAGTATAGAGACAGAGTACCTATGAAAATGTCCCAAGTTCACGTGCTATCATGTAGGTTCTAGCATTAAGAAGCTCGTTCGCAACGCCTAAGCCATAGATATACTATGCGAGTAGTAAGCAGTGAGTCCTAGCCATCTAGTTTAGCCCCAATCCACACCGCTCACACGGCGTGGGATACTCTCGGCGGTGGCGGAAGTTGCAGGAGGTTCGCAATTCGGCGGTGGCGAGAGGCTCTGTTAGGGTATATTTTCCGCCTTGATAATTTAGGACCGTTATTCGGAGGATAGCCAGCAGTTCTAATACTACCACTAACTGAATCACCACAGTTCGGTAAGTTTACTAATTTTAATAATCAAATCTTAACAATCAGTTACTTCAACTGAGTGAATTCAACTAATTTATTTTTTTTTTAAATACATTTTTTATTTTGTTACTCAATTGTTTGTCTCAATTCAAATAATTTTATCAACATAAATGATAACTGATAACAAAAACAGCGTTCAACGTCTGGTGTTGTGTACCTAGAATATGTTGATGATACGAGAAAAAATATAAAGGCAGATACAAAGACTTGGTGGATGAAGCTACTTTTAATCTTAGATATAAATATCAGGACGGGGCGTTATAATCTAAAGTAAATTAAGTTTATCTAGTTACAATTAAAAAGCAAACAACTTTAAAAGTTTCAACTATGGTGTCCGGAAATTTTCGATCTTTTGGCAATTTCCGTTACCACGGAAACCGTTCGAAACTTGCTTCGGAAATGTTTGCTGGGGTTTCGGGATGGGTCCTAATCTCTCATGAAATTTTGCAATTGGTGTGATTTTCACCCACTCTAAATAGCTGAAAACAGCGGGAAGGAACCCGATTAACAGCGCATGTCTACGACAGCCGGACGTCCTCTGTTTTTCTGTTACATCTGTTTGATTGAAAATAGCGGTAAAGTATTCAAGATTGGCTTTGGCCTTAAACATTACCAGACATGGTAATGCTAGTTATAATTGAATTCTCTGTCCAATTTTACATTTGTGTATACAATTTCTTTCTTGTCCGTGGCTGTTTAGATTTACAGTGACATTTTTTTCAGGCAATCGCTATTATGTGGCTGTGTCTTATTCGTCATTGGCTGCCATCTTGTCCAATGACAGTCTAATGTAAACAAAGCCAAAACGAAAGTTGCGCAGTTTGCGCAGAGAAAACTTCTTGTTTCTGCAAGACAGGTTTTAGCAGCTGTTTTTTACATCTCATTTCCACAAAAAACCTACATATCTCAGCTCAGAAATGACATACAAGCCTAAATGAGGTACCATTGGAAAGAGATTGTTTACAGCTATCTGAATGTGCTGGTTTTATTATTTAAGAGGGCATTTTAAAAATTTGACTAAAGTAACTATTAAATAATTAAAAGCATAAAACATAAAAAAAGAAAAATATGTGAGAACAATTTCTTTTTTAAACTTACTTATACTTGATTTCGTGTTAATCCAAACAGTAGTAAAATATCAACAGCGTTCAATGCTGGATGTTACCATGATATTACAAATGGGTCTGTGAGAACCGACATCGAGGAAGGTCTACTAATAACTGGGGGGATGTTTCTTTTGGAGAACCAACAACCCGGAAATAGCTCGACCTTGCAGCGGCCAGATCTCACCGGAAATATCCGTGTTTTGGTTTTCATGTGTAGAAGAGCGGCTTTCAGCATGTTACCACACAATAACCGCGAGGACATCCGCACAGTAACCGCGAGGACGTCCACACAATAACCACCAGGAATTTCACACACACACTCAAAAACCAAAACACCCATTAAATCAACAACGATGAGAGAGGCAAAGGTCATGGATTGGATTCCATCCATGGTATCAAAGAGATTATATAGAATAGAATGGGATAGAGGTATAGACCGCGATCCCTATGCGACATTTCTGGCACAACAGGACCATGAATGAAAGAATCCCTCCACCAAAAAACAATAAATGAATTAATCCCTCCAGTCCTAAGCAATGAATAAATGAATCCCTCAGGTCCAAAACAATGAATGAATAAATCCCTCCGGCCCTTAACAATGAATGAATGAATCCCTCCAGTCCTAGTCAATGAATCCCTTTAGTTCTAAACAATGAATGAATGAAAACCCCCCCCCCCCCCCCCCCCCATTCCTAAACAATGAATGAATTAATCCTTCCATCCTAAACAATGAATGAATGATTCCTCCAGTCCTAAACACGGTTTACAGTGAAATCAAACCAGACACACACACACACAAAAGAGTTAAAGTAATTATCGGCTGATGCTGAAAGAGATTTAAAAAGCGAATAGCACGTTCTGTTGTCGTTTAGTAGTAGGCTGCGATATCTATACACTCACCACATCTACTTTCTGTGAAGCCTTAATTAGTTCTAGATGTCAGATCGTTCGCCAGAAGAGTCCGAGAAAGAATGGATGAAAGGTCAGCCAATGTGTAAATGAGCCGGTAAACGTGCACAGTACCACAATTATACATCGCCTTTTACGGAATATTTGTTTTCAGAGAATTATTTGTTGTTTATTTATCGTCCTCTTGTGGGATGCAATTTTTCGTTATTTTGACCCCCCCCCCTCCCCCAACCGCGGCCTTTGCCTGGGGCCCTAATATAACATAACGGTTGAACGGCGTTCAGGACATCTCCACTAATGATCCTCATCCGCACGGTGGCACTTTGTATCACCAGGTGTTTATCGCTCTGTATGATGTATCGGTGAGGTAAAACTTACTTAAATTTGTTCTGAGGGACAGTGGGTCTATGTATTCGTTCCTCTTTTTTCAAAAATTATTTCCGCATTAAACGTGTCTGAAGTTCCAGCACTCTTTGGCCGTAATATCTGCCGCATTTTGTCCCATCGCATCTGGTTTCAGCAAAACAATTATCAATCGTCTTTTACGACATGTTTGTTCAGGGTATATCCATCCGTTTTCCCCTCAATAGGGCACAGAACATAACACGGGTAGAGCTAATCACACGCCCCGCTCCCCGCGCTAAGTTCTCGCTTTTCTGGCAATATTCGGGTAGCCATTGGTCAGCTATTTCCGGTTCCTGTGGTCGGGTTTGCAAGATACGAGCTCGCAGCAGACGATCGAGAAAGTACTTCAACAGTGAGCTTTTTGTAACTTTTGTGCTTCCTTCATCAGATTCATGATTTTCGATAGCTAGCTACTGGACAGATTCGCTTGATATTCGGCTGAGTGTCTCGACTAAACTATCGGAGTCGGCTGCGTTTTTTGGGTCATTAGCAGCCCGTGTTCGCACCTAGCCAGCGACAACTACCAGCAACAAAGATCTACACCGGTGACGAGTGTATTCAAGAATCAACAGAGGAAGGAACAACGCCCTAGGTAATTATAATTTACATTATAAACTTTTTAAACCGAAACCTAGGGCGTGCGTTTAACCTCTAAATAAATTCGAGAACTTTTACAATTACCGTTGAAAATGGACACTGCGCCCATAACGACCGAAACACCAGGACCACCAGCACAGAGAGACGCTTCCCCGGGAGCTGACCTTTCAGGGGTGCCTGATGCCGCCTCGGTAGCGACGCAAGGTTCCCCCTCGCCTACGAAAGCAGCGGCAGCCTGAGACCAGCACACCAGACATCATGCAGTGCTCGCGCTGCAATAGGGTGTGGCATACAGCTTCGTCCTGCCGCAGCAGCCTATCGTGCAGATATTGTTCTGGAGCGCACGAATTCAAGGAGTGCCCGCTGGCTAAAATTGACACTAATTTTAAAAAACCAAACAGCAACCGCAAGTGCTCCAACTGTTCCGGTGCGCACGGCGCGAGATACATGGGCTGCCCGTATCTCCAGCAGTGCAAGAGGACACTAAGAACCGCCCACGAAGCAGCTAGACAGAGATACGTGGCATCCAGGTCCTCAGCAGCACCAAAGCAACCAAGTGGGAAGCCAGCACAACGGACATCAGACAGACGAACCGACAGGGCAATCACAGCCGCAAAGGACCCTGAAATCTCGCTACAAATTTCTGAAATTTTAGCTGAAATCAGAGCTCTCCGCAAAGAAAAGTCTGACGCCACCAACACCGACGCTGACAGAACGCAGTTGCTAGACCTGATTTCGCAGATGCGTGACGAAATCAAAGCCTTTAAAGACGACAGACAAGAACAAATCTCGCAGCAAACAAAGTGGCTAGCAGAGGCTGCGCAAATGCAGAAAAATCTGACAGAAATGACACTAAAATTACAAGCAGAAAAAGCTGCAGACGAGACCCGCAGCTTCCGCATATCCTGCAGCTTTGCTCGTGAGTCCTAGCCATCTAGTTCAGCCCTAATCCACGCCGGCGTGGGGGAACTCGTGGCGGTGGCGGTAGTCGCCGGAAAACCACAAATTAAGTCGCTGGAAGTGCGGAATTGACACGTGACTGAGGCTCGTAAGGATATTTTGTGGCCGCCATCTTTAGTGCCCGTTATTCGGAGGATAGCCCATCTAGTTTAGATCCCCATCCCCGCCGCGC